TGTTGCATGTGTACTCCCCACCCTATTAGTGAGGCATCTGTGGTGATTTGTACTGATGGCTCGGGCTGCAGGAAAGGAACGCCCGCAAGGAGGTTGTGGTGTGAAGTCCACCACTTGAGAGAGTCCAATACCTGCCTGGGACAGTGATGTTCTTTCCAAGAGGGTGTCGAGATGGCTTGTAGACCGAAGCTAGCCAGTGTTGCATAGCTCGGAAATGGAAATGTGCATACTGGACAACATACATAGTGGCTGCCATATGGCCCAGCAGTTGGAGGTAGGTATGCATGGTGGATGATGGGTTCGTAGTTAGAGCAGTTGCTAAGTCCCGGAGTATATTAAATTATTGGTTTGGTAAAAATGCCTGTGTTGATATGGAATTGAGGCGAGTTCCAATGAGCTCTGTGTCTTGAGTCAGTTTGCATTTCGACTTCTGCTCATTTATAATGAGGCCAAGGTAACTGAAAAGGTGTCTGGTCTTGGAGACCATTTCGTATGTCTTTGATCATGATCGACCCCTGATGAGGCAATCGTTGAAGTATAGGGAGATGATGACCCCCCTGTTGTCGAAGACAGGCTGCCACTACTGCCAGGCTGAAGACAGTACAAAGAGGAGGACTGTGTACTGAAAGTGGTTGTCCCCAATCTTGAACCAGAGAGGGATGTATCGTGACGTGGAAATAGGCATCTTGTCGAGGGCTGCGAACCCTTTGTCCAGTGCTGGGATTATTGAAGCCAGTGTGATCATCTTGAAATGCTGTTTGCGTAGGAACCTGTTCAGCTTGTGAAGGTACAAAATCGGCCTCCATCCCCCCAGATGCTTCTGGATAAGAAAGTGGGCCGAATAGAAACCTCTTTCTTTGTAGGATTCGGGTACCTGCTCAACTGCGCCTGTTTGAAGGAGGCGGTCAATTTCCTGCCTGAGAAGAGTCTCGTGAGAGGGGTCCCTGAAGAGGGAGGTGGAAGAGAGGGATGTGGGGGGAGAGACATGAAGGGTCTGGAGAATCCCTTGTTGATAATCTCTAGAACCCACCGATCCGATGTTATTGAGCCCGTGTCAGAAGAAGGGACGTAAACTATGGGTAAAGGTACGTTCTTGGCTTCTTGTCACTGGATGGTTGGGGAGGTCGGGCAGACCCTCAACCAATTCCTCAAATCTGCTGTTTCGTGTTCTGGGATCCCGAGGAGTGTGCTTGAGATGGGCACTTCCTTTGGGGTTGCTGTCTGGATCAGTTGTAATTGTATGGTCTTTGCAGAGGGCAATTATAATTGTCTCTATTTCTGTTGTAAGGAGTATATTTCTTTTGCCGGTACAGTGGTGTGTACATGCCTAGGGTGTGCAGCATAGTGCGAGAGTCTTTGCTACTGTGTAACATCGCATCTGTGTTTGCTGCAAACAGCTTATGTTTATCGAAAGGAAAGGTCCTCCACTTTCAACTGTAGTTCTTTCGGTACCCTGCTACAAGTAACCATGAGGTTCTTCTCATCACTACCGCTGTGGCTGTTGTTCTACTCGCTGTATCAGCAACATCAATGGCTACTAGTACAGCAGTACAGGAGATAGTATGAACTTCGTGGATGAAGAATAGAGAATGTGCCTCTTGGAATCAGGTGTGTTCCATGAGTTCAGCCAACTTTGAGTAGTTGTCAAAGTCATGGTTGGCTAGCAGTGCTGAGTAGTTAGCTAGTCTAAGCTGTAGTGTGGCTGATGAGTAGGTCTTCCTGCCGAAGGTGTCTAATTTTTTGTATACTTTGTCATTAGTCGCAGAATTAGTCCATGGAGCCTTGGAGCATTGGTTCTCTGAATCCAACACCAATGAGTTAGGCTGGGGGTGTGATAAAGAAACTCCGTGTCCTTAGGGGGGGACAAAGTACTTTCTGTCCGATTTCTTGCAGGTTGGTTGGATGGAGGCAGGTGTCCTCCAAATGTCATCTGATACCTCCATTATTGCCTCATCAATGGGAAGAGCTATCTTTCCCTGAGATGATGGCCGAATGTTCTTCAAGAGGCGATGTTGTTTCTCCTTCACTTCTTGGAGATGCACCTTCTGACTGATGGCTACTCTTTTAACAAGGTCCTGGAATTGGCTGAGGTCATCTTCAGAGCCCATAGTCCTACCTATTTTTTTATCCAAAGCCTCATGCATCCCAGAGAGACTCTATCCTTCACAATTTAGATGTTCGGCAGGCACTAGCCTTCTACATTAGCAGAACACAACAATTCCATAAATTTCTACGTCTTTTCTTGTCCCTTGCAAACCACTCCAAGGGCACCCCGATTTCAGCGCAGCGTATCTCTAAGCTGATAGTAGCCTGTATAATACAGCGTTACTCCCTTCAGAACAAGCATCTACCAGCCCCACCCAGAGCACATTCCACTTGGATTGCTGAGACATCAACCGCCTTTCTGAACAATGTTCCGCTGAAGGATATATAACCGTGTGGCCACCAGCAGTGCTTTTTTTGTTTAAAAAAAAAAAAAAAGGGCCCAGTGCTCCAGGGGAAAAGTTGTTGAGCTCTGACTGGAGGTACTGGTACTGTATCTGGAAGTGCCAGTATTGCATACCAGGCAATACCATCACAAAAAAAGCACTGGTCATCAGACCACTCCTTCACCAGACATTACGCTATCATGCCTCAAATAAAAGCAGTGGCTACGGCAGTACTATCTGAGGCTGGCTGGAGGGCTGCAGAGCTTTTTCAAACAGCAGCATTTGTAGCCACATTTCATGGTCCTTTCTGGCTTCCCCCCCCCAAGCATCTCATACACTCCGCATGCCCATCAGATGCTGGCAAGGGCTCAATGGGGGAGGGGGGGCATGCAGAGTGATTTTTGGTCTCAGGCTGCCCTATTGTCCTTTCCCCTCCGATCCCGATCCCTTGTTTGTTGTTGTTGGTTTCTTTTCTTTTTTTTTTTTTTTTGGAACTACAGAGATTAAAGCTGCCGCCTCTGTGATGGTCCATGAGAACCGAGGCTGGGACAGCCTGTTCTTTCACTTCCTGTTTTTACTTTGAAGTTGTAAAAACTGATCAATTAAGGGAAATAGCCCGGGGTAGAAGGTAATTAAGTAGCAAAGATCTGTGAAGAGAGAAAATGAAGGAGGCGAGAGAGGTTAGAAGTCCGTCTGTGGCCGAGGGCAGTTGAAGAGGAACTGAGGGGAGCGGAGGGGAAGAGAATCAGGGCTGTCACAGGAGGCACCTAATGGTCAAGTGGTGTGAGGCACCTTTTGTGTGTGAGCTGCCCAACCGTCAACTGCTAAGAAAAATTCTGATCTGCGGCTCCGGGGACCACTCAACACCAACAGAGGAGCATCCATGGGGATATCACCTGAAGAAGAACAAAATGTTCCTATATCAACAGGAGCCAGATTCTGGAGAAAAGAGACCAGGATGGGTTAACATGAGTTGGAAAGGGAAAATTAGAGGGGCAAGGAGAATAGGTAGAGACCTGCAAATTCGCAGATATCCATAGCTTATTTTTACCAATATGAACGTGGATACAAATTTTGTATATAGGACAAATTTATGGCTATCCACTTTATATCTGCAGGTATAGACATCCACATATGTGGATATCCGTTGATCACTTTTGCAGATGCGGATATGGATGGAAATTTTGTATCCAAACAAAGCTCTACAAATAGTCAGTACAAGTTTCTCCCACATGTCCCCTCATCATACTTTGTGCCTGCCCTGAAGATACCACCAATAGAATGGAAATCACTAGCATTTGCAGGGGTTCCATATTATTATTTGCATAACACTGTGCTTGGTGCTTTACAGACGGACTAGGGGCAGCACGACAGGCTGGGAGAGATAAGGGAGGTCGGGGGCAGCGTGACTGGCTGGGGGAGATAGGGAAGGTCAGGGGCAGCACAGCTGGCCAGTGGCAGCTGACAGGGAAAATACCTTGGACCCCCGCAAGGTATTTTCCGTATTATCCGACATTTCGATTATCTGACCATCCTTTGGTCCCATTTAGGTTGGATAATCAAGACTCTACTGTAACTATTTTGATATTAGCGTTATTCCTTGTGGAAAGCAGGAGTTATTATATCAAAATAACCAGCCCATTATTTCGAAGTAACGGGCTTGGTAGTGTGGATGCTCTGCTTGTTATTTCGAAAGAAGACCACAGCAAAGGAAGAAGAGAGATTAAACAAGCGGGCTGTCTCCATATGGAGAGGTATCCCTGACGATCAGATGGCTCCTCCTGAAAGGAGTGATTGTATGAAGCTGTTTTCTTTGGTGTAAAGAAGTCTGAACTCAAACAGTATTAATGGGCTTATGAAAAATAGAGCTGTAACTTTTTAATTCCTAGAGAAACCCAAGGAAGGGCAATGTGACATGGCAGACGCTGTCATAACAGAACAGGACATAACAATCAGTCCATTTGAATCAACCATTTACACAAAATTGCAAACTTTCAGAATTGTGTTGCTGCTGCTATTTCTGCAGTTCATTATTTTATCAGGAAGATCACTGGAGAAGGATCCGGAGAAATATTTAGAGACAAACAAAAAATGAATCAACACTGTATTCTAGGTGTGAACAGTCACTTTGTTTAAAAAAAGCCCAGTGCCCAAAGCATTTGTTAAATATTTCACTGCTAATATTCTAAGTGTATACAAACTGTACAGAGCTCCAGGATTATGAGAACAATGCACCCAGTTATCCCGACAACATGCTGGGTTCACACTATCACCTAATTGTCTGACACCATATTGTTGAGTCTTTCCACACTTCTCGCTGCACATTTTAATAAACTTGTAAGAGAGAATGATTAAGCATTGACGATCTGGACTTGACAGACAACGTCTGACTATTCAGGTGCTCAGACACAAATATTTGTAGTACACTGAGCAGTTATTATAGCACATCTTGAGCACGAGGGTTAAGTCAGAGCAAACGGATTTTTCTTCCTAAACCTCCCCCCAACCTTAAACTCCAATTTGTAAAATAAATCTCCATCGATGCTCAATAAAAAACACCAGCCTACTCACCCTTCCTCCCCTTGGAAGTGTTCTTCCAAGCTTTTCCAAACACTCCTGAAAGAGGGAAAAGATATCAACTAATCTCTCTCTGGCTTTCTCCATTAACTGCAGCTACTTCTTTCTCAAAGCCTCTTTAAATGACTTACTGATTACGAGAAAAAGCTAGCAAACCATCCTCCCCTTCCCTCAAGTGTCACTTTGCCATCAACCACACGCGGCATCCAATATATGGAGGACTGCCCCATTCTCTCCCCTCCTTCCTAGCTGAGATCTGCCTCGCTGATTTCCCACTCCCCCTTTCCGAAGCACTCTGCAAATGACATGGTTAGCAACTGCACAGTTTGTTGCTCCCTGTCCTGCGCTATCCCAGGCGCTGGGAACTCGCTCCAAGAGCCAGGAGCCTGTGTTCACCTCTCTCCGCACGCATCATGCTGCTTCGCTGCCCCTCGGGGGAGCCGGGTCTGCACAGATACTCACAGGTCAGGAATCTGCTCCAGGGCTCCGAGCGTGTCCCCAGGTCACGCTCGCTCCTCCGCCGGGCTCGGGCCCATTCCGCCTCCCCAGGTAACTTTCACTCACTGGATACAATGTAACCAGAGGCTTGACAAGAACTACTTTCCCAGCTGGAGGAGGAGACATCATCCAGCAGAGAGAGAGGGCGACCAATCAGCGCCGCCCTGTATTGTGACAGATTGGAGCGTCGGCCATAGGTGCGACTCGTAGAAGAGAGAGGGTGAGTGACAGCGGAATCCACCAATTGGATTAGAGGAAACTGGTGACGGGCGGAGTTAAGGAATAGGGTGGGGCTGAAGCAGCTGGACCCTAACCCCTCCCTCCCCCGTGATTCTTAAAGGTAGAGGAGCCTTTGAAACAGCCTTGAAGGTGCGAGGCCAGCGGACACAGCACGGGCAGCCGAGGGAGCTTTAGCATATGGTGCAAGAGCAGCTGGACTTCAGCGCTTCCTAATTCCAGCTTGTCCTCCAGCGCAGCTCTGCCAGCGCGCCTGAGTCTGACCCTGGACCCTAACCCCTCCCTCCCCCGTGATTCTTAAAGGTAGAGGAGCCTTTGAAACAGCCTTGAAGGTGCGAGGCCAGCGGACACAGCACGGGCAGCCGAGGGAGCTTTAGCATATGGTGCAAGAGCAGCTGGACTTCAGCGCTTCCTAATTCCAGCTTGTCCTCCAGCGCAGCTCTGCCAGCGCGCCTGAGTCTGACCTGTTACCAGGGCTGGGCAGCGCTTTCATCAGGCTCTGCAGCCCCTTCTGCGATTGCACCTGTTGTAACACTCTCCATCAGCCCCCTGTGCTGCCTCCATCACAGCCTTAGGAATTCTGGGGCCCTAGGCAGGGCTATTCAACTGGTCTCCCTATGCCCGACAGCCCGTTGGGGACGGGACAACAGTTTAAGAGCTGTGATTTTATAACCTTCAGCCACACAATAAAGAAATATTTTTTTTAAAAAAAATGTTAAACGAAAGGCCTGTCCATTAACACAGTAAATTCAGAAACTGGCCGGATATCCCTGGCCTTGGCCAATGCTTGTTAAATGGCTTCCTTGCCACTTGAATGGCTCTTTCACAGGTTCCATGTTGTGCTAATAGGTCAGGCTGGCAGGCTTTGTCACTTTGAACTTAGCTAGAGCAGGGGCGAGGACCCTTTTTTGTGTGGAAGGCCACTGACCTACAGAAAAATCAGTTTGGAGCCACATGAAAGTGAAAAGTGGGGGGGGAGGGAGGGAGGAAATCCTCACAGACCTGGCCCCGCAGTGAGAAGGAGAAAAATACCCTCACTGACCATGCAGAAAAGATACTTCATTCCAACTCCACTGGGGGGAGAGGGAGGAAAGGGAGAGCCAAAGCTCAGGATTTTCCCCTAGGTCCAGAGGATAGTAGATTCTGTGAGACCTCCCCCCAAGCTTTGGGGTGGGGCCTAAAATGAAGGATTTAGTGTGCAGAAGGGGTCTGGGAGTGAAGGTGCAGAGGTCTGTGCAGGAGGGGGCAGGGGCACATGTGGCTGTGTACCACCTACACTTGCAGGAATATTCCCGGTCAGTGGGCTTGATGGGGGTGGAGCCTGCAAGCAAGCGCAGGGACAGAGCTTCCCTGCACTGCGATGCTGAGCTGCTTCCTCCCACTCATCAGGCAGAGCCTGTGGGCCAGATGCAGCTGTGCCTTGTTCCAACCCAGAAGGCTTGAGACTCCCCCTGACTACATTGGGGAGCTAGTTTTGGCATTCCAGCCGTGCAGGGGGGCACTGAGGCTCATAGACTTGCTGGGTGGGTGGAGTGCCAGCTCACCCTGCTGCAGTTGAATGGAACCCCAAACCTCAAGGGGCCCCATTCCTGAACTAGAGCGTCTCTGGAGGATGCAGAGGCGCAGAAGAGAGATAAGAAGAGGCTGGTGCATGGACATAAAAACTATGTCTAAACTACATCCCTCTTTCAAAAGTGGGATGTAAATTAGTCAGATCCAAAGTGCAAATGAAGTGGAGATTTAAATATCACACGCTTCATTTGCATAATTGCATCACAGCGTTCTTTCGAAAAGTCTATTTCGAAAGTGAAACTGCCATCTGACACTGGTCTTTCAAAAAAACTCCCTTTTTCTAAAGATCCTGTACCCCGAGGTGGTTTCACTTTCGAAATTTAGAGGGCCACATCTGCTTCAAAAATAGGCCTGGGATGCTGGGCTCTATTCCTGTCTCAGGCTATATCCACACTACAGGCTTCTTGCAGAAGAGCGCATCCACACTGCAAAAGTGCATTGGAAAAGTGATGCGCTTTTGGCAAGAGAGCATCCAGACTCCATGGATGCTCTCTCTAAAGGAAACTCAGATTGCTATTTACAGAATGGCCACCAGGGCACCTGTGCTTTTTTCAATTGCCTCTTTTTGTGCAAAAAACCCTGTTTCCCATCCACACACACTTTTTTGCTCAAGAGTTCTTGCACAAAAAGGAGTATTCTTCATAGTAAGAGGAATACCTACACTGGAAAAATCCCTCTGCTCTTTCGATATTTTTGTGCAAAAATGCACGTGAGGTGTGATTGCTCCGCAATGTGATCGCTCCTGCAATGAGGAGTAACGGTAGTTCTAGTTAGGAGCTTTAATTTGAACTACCTAGTCCGTGCTGCATGTAGCTGCTGGCAGGGAGTTCGAACTATGGGGCATTTCAAAATGGCGGCGCCCAGGAACATGCAAATAAAGCCTTGGATATTTAAATCCCGGGCTTCATTTGCAAGTTCGAATGCCTACATTAGCCACCCTAGTTTGAACTAGGGTGGCAGTGTAGACATGCCCTGAGAGTTTCCTGTCATAGTTACTTATGCCTCTGCTTGTCCCTGTTTTTTGCTGGGGTGCGTCGACGGAGGCATGTAGATTAGCCAGATCGGCAGAGGAAAATGAAGCCGCGATTAAAATAATCGCGGCTTCATTTAAATTTAAATGGCTGCCCCGCTCTGCCGATCAGCTGTTTGTCGGCAGATTGGGGCAGTCTGGACGCGCCGCGCCGACAAAGAAGCCTTTCTTGATCGGCACAGGTATGCCTCGTGAAACCAGGTTTACCTGTGCCGATCAAGAAAGGCTTCTTTGTCGGCGCGGCGCGTCCAGACTGCCCCAATCTGCCGACAAACAGCTGATCGGCAGAGCGGGGCAGCCATTTAAATTTAAATGAAGCCGCGATTATTTTAATCGCGGCTTCATTTCCCTCTGCCGATCTGGCTAATCTACATGCCTCCGTCGACGGAGGCATGTAGTTTAGACGTACCCCTGGTGTGTCGCAAAAAGATACTGCCTGCAGGGCCCATTCTGAAGAGAGTGGGAAGAGGAAGAGATGACTGATAAGAGGATTAATTGAAGCAACACCCCAATAAAAAGCTATATGATAAAATACAGTCCCATATTTCCTCCTGGGTAGAAATGGGATAACATGTAGCTACAGTTAGAAGGGACTATGTGCAATAAATAACAGCTATAGCCCATCAAAGGGTGTGCGTGAAAGTAAATTGAAAGAACGCGACAGTTTTTTTAACCACAGAAAACCTCGTTTTACGAGGAATAATGCCTTTTTTGGAAAGTGCTCTTTTGAAAAAAGGTGCTATGTAATGCAAACTGCTTTTTCGAAAGAGAGCATCCAAACTGCCTGGGTGATCTCTTTCAAAAAAGCGGCTTGCTTTTTCAAAAGTACTGATTGTAGTCTAGATGCTCTATTTCGAAAGAGGCTTGCACTATAGACGTAGCCAAACTGTTTTAAATCCTTGCTCCCTGCGTTTGCCCAGGCTATACAAGATTGGTGAAATTTACTAAAACTCTGTCATTTCCCAGAAAAGCTGCTGCTGCAGAGGTCTGTGTGTTCCAATGGGTGAAATACCCTGTTAATTAGGTTAATGAGCTGCTGTGGATCTCAAGCAGAATCTCGAGCAGGGTGACTGCTGTTGCACCCAGAAAACATCTGTTTAACAATGGCACAATGCAACATTTAAAGACAAAATGAAACTGATATTTCCCTTTGCAATTGAGTCTTGTCCAGCTGCTCCAGACTATAAAAGAACCATCAAGGAATGTAATGTAGTAATTGTTAATTCTCAGCGCAATTTCCAACTGCTGCCTACTCTAGCTGGCAAAGTCCTTATCTCCTCAAGCTGTGTGTGAACCCAGACTGACATCCATCCTTTTGTAACTGAGAGAATGGGGAGGAGTGATTCATAGCAGCTGTCAATGTGGAGTCCTGAGAGGATGGGGCTACAGAACAGGAGTAATAGCCCTGAAAACCGATAGACTCCTTATCGTGATGGGGAGGAACCTGTTTATATCTTTAGTGGTAATGAAGGGAGCATGAGGACAGCAGGCAGCAGGCCTAGGCAGTGTGGTGATGGGCACAACACAAGCACACAGAGAAGCAGAAAGCCTGACAGTGAAGCAAACTGCTGGAGTGAATCTGACAGAGAGAGCTGCACCTGGGGGCACCTGACAGTACAGGAGACAGTGAGGAGGGCAGCAATGGGAGGAACCAAATGGAAAAACAATCCATCTCTTGCCCTACGGAGGATTTTCTAAGGACTCAATTGAAGAGGAAAACAAGAGCAGTTCATCACTAAGGAAAGAATGGGACGCTGCTTGAGATGGCTATAACCATTCCATAGTTTAAAACAAGCACCTTCCAGTGATCTAGAGCAGTGTTTCTCAACCTTTTTTTTTATAAAGTACCCCTTTAAAAAATTATAAGTACCCTCAATACCTACAGTTTTTAGAGACATACATTTTTTTCTACCATTGCAACACATTTGTTTATAAACAACTTAATCATAGCTGATTAAACATAAAGCTGATTAAACTTAAAACAAAAACTCAGTTTTCTCCAAATTTCAGTTGTGTTGATGTATCCCCCAGACTTCTCTCGAGTACCCATAAGGGTACTTGTACCACTGGTTGAGAAACACTGATCTAGAGTAGAGAATCCAACCAGGTGGGGAATATTCTTCTGCACTACTACAACATCATACCTGCCATGGCCTTCCTTTGAATTGCCTATCGTATGGTCAGCATTCAAAAACCAAACTGGCATATAAAAATATGATTAAAATGTAGACACTTGAAAACGTGTAAAGTTGACCCTCTCCCCCACACCACTGTTTTTGAACAGCTAGTTAATGAATTGAAG